TGAACAATATGCATAGTATCAATGCAATGGGACTTGCTGTTTTCAACAAGAATTCAAAAATATCATTTTTCACCATGAATGATTGTGGTTTTTAACAAGAAGAAAATACCACTTTTTACCAAAAATGACAAAAATATTCACCAAAATTAGAGAATTAAAGATATCATTACAAAATGAATAAATCTGAGAGAGGTCCACATGTAGTACCTATATATGTAATATCAAAGCAATTGGACTTGCGGTTTTTAACAAGAAGTCGAAAATATCACTTTTTACCAAAAATGACAAAAATATTCACCAAAATTAGAGAATTAAAGATATTATTACAAAGTGAACAAATCTGAGAGAGGTACACATGTAGTACATATATATGTAATATCAAAGCAATTGGACTTGCGGTTTTTAACAAGAAGTCGAAAATATCACTTTTTACCAAAAACGACAAAAATATTCACTAAAATTAGAGAAGTGAAGATATCAACATGAAACGAACAAACCTAAGAAAGGTCTACCCAAGGTACATATACACCAAGTATCAAAGCATTCAGGCTTGTAGTTTTCAAGAAGAAGTCGAAAAAGTAAAACATTGACACGGACGACGACGACGGACAATCACTCATATGATAAGCTCCGCTCGACAAAGTCGACAGCGAAGCTAAAAAAGTCATTAAGACACATAAATTGCCTGCTTTACCGGTACTACAATAAAGAATGGTGAAAACAGTTGAGATGCGCAAATCCCAAATATGTACAGAGAACAATATAGACTATGCAACAACAAACCTGCAGGAGGAAAGCAATCCTGGAGTCGTCTCCAAAATTTTCTTCTGACTTGCGTACATTCTTGAGCAAATATCGATAATGAGAATAATCCTGGCGGGTTCGACCATCATTATCTAATTTAGTACACTGTCTACATTTACCAACAACTCTGGCATTCGATGACAAAGAGAAGTCTGTTGACGGCAAGTATTGGTTACAGCTTGAACAGAAATAGATATTTTTACGCAAGGTGGCAGGATCTTGTGGCACCTGTAAAAGCAAACACAAATATCATTCAAATATCACTTTGGCATACAAACTTCAACACAAGTTACAATGACATCATTGACTATTATAGTCAGACTTGAATTTACTGGTAATTTGAGAGTAAGAACGCTTTGATACTACTATTATTATCCTCACGATGAGAACATTTGATAAGGCGACAGACATAAGCATATTTACCTTGAGCAATCTAGCAGCTTCAGCATTGAATGTTGGAGTTTTAATGTATTGCAGAAACAAGGTAGAGATTCTTTTACGAAGCCCTTCCAAATTGGATTCTTTTACACCTCTCATTAGCAAATCTGCTTCTCTATCAATTAACTCAATAATTTCTTGTGTTAGCTTACAGTCATGTTCCTATAGGAAGAATAGACAAATTGGATGAAGACACTTTGGTAATGAAATACGACTACCATAAATTTGTGCTGAATACTACTGCATATACCGTATTTGCAACATATTACAATAAAAGCTGTAAGCTGTCAATAATATACATGTATAGAGAACAATCTGTGAGACTGACAATAGTCGAGAAATAATATGAAGAAATCTGTAATGTTCTCACCTTAACTGTATGTTTAAGTGTCAATAAAACATCTAGCCGTTCATCCTGAGTTAAATATTTCATATTAATACTACTATGAATATCTTTCAGCTCTCTGGCTCTGATCGTGAATGCTGTGTCCATCTCAGTCGTCTTGCCATCATAGGCTTTCCACTTCTTTGGTGACGCACACTGTGGACAAATAAAAGTAGCCATTTTTAAAAACATACCACATTTGACAGAGATTTCTTATAATGGAGCACCATCTTAGAAAATGCTTTTAAATTGCTGTTATCCCTGTACTCATTGTACAGTGAATCCTAGAGTAATATAAGATCTGATACTAGTAGTTGAAAACATACTTTGTCTAAGAATCGCTCTATTCTCTTCTGTTTATTTTCTGTATCTGCCTGGATTTTATGTCGACCAATAGCAGCAATTAGTTGAGTTTCTTGATCTAATAAGTGACATAAGGCAGCTTTCCTTTGAGCACCAGTCATCGTTGAGTTGATTACCTCCAATTCTTCTTGACGCCATTCTAAATACAAACAGACAGCATATTTTCATGAGCTTTACACTGACAAAGTTTATTGTCTAGATTTAGGACAATAATAATTTGTACTCGTCTTTAATAGTTGCTCATTTACATTGGCAGCTTTTTGAAAATTACTATTTTCAACTATTAACTGCTTTGTCAGGACATTAATGTAGTACATGCAAGCCAATATTACACATATATGTACATGTAGCAGCATTTTTACAGCCCACAATAGACGAAAAAATACTACAAACGTAGGTACAAAAAAAAAATGAGAGACTGCAAAGTTACACTTACTTTCTAATGCATGATATAAAAGATCAAAATCTTCTTTTGACTTAGGATTCATCCTCCTCTCAAATTCCTTCTTGATTCTATCTTCTTTTTCTTTAATTTTGCGAATTTCCTCTTCACGTTCCCACTGCAGCCTCTCTGCAAGATCCTTTCTCATAATTTCAACAGTTCGCTTGGCTTTCCACCTCCTGAAGTAGCATTGTAGAAGTATAATCTGTAGGAAGATTTAACCCAAGGATGAATTGGTTTGGTTTGACAGCAGTAGTGATGACACGTTTGACTGTATTAACTTCTAAAATGTAATGTTTCCCCAGGATACAAGCAGTGAGGTACCATGCTGGCCTGACACCACCATATTTCAGAGTGGTTAGTGTGTTTCAATGAGTACTTGTAAAACAATTAATTATTCCCTGTTTTTTTTTTTATTAAGCAGATATTTAACATGTGCAAATTAAAAACCCAGTGAATATTCAAATTTAACAATAGAAAAAAACAGTAAATTTAAAACCAAGCAAATATCAAAGAAACATCAAATTCACTACAATAAAACCCAGTGAATAATTCTCCTTTTGCATGATATGTACATTAATTACCCAGTATTAACATTTCTGCAAATTAACAACAAGTGGTTTAAATTTCTGGGGAAGGCACTGATTATATTGTAGGCTCAGTAAAAGCTCAATTCAGCAACACTAAATCTATTTATCCCGATGTACTGTATTTAGTAAAAAGAGTTAAATAAATTTTTGCTGAAAGCAAAAATAATGCATTCAACATTTCAGTTTGTATTTATTTATTATTTTTTTCGTAGGCTTCATTAGAACTCTCTAGCACTGTAGAACAAATAATACTCAATAAATACTACTCACTTTTTTAACTATCATGGCAAGGTGTTCATCAGCAGTTGTGTATTTCCCAGGTACCACCAAGATATCAGACATATTAGTGACAAAAACTCCAATACCGGTCATCTGTGTTGATGTATCTGTCATTGTCTGTTGTCGCTGTTGGCTTTCTTTCACAGTCTGTGTGTCTCGGCAAAATTTTTCTATTCCATTATCAGGTCGTATTTTAGGCCTTGTTTGTGCAGATGCATGGTGGTACTCTAAAGCTGTAAGTCTATGTCTATAGCCACCAAGGTAGGGTTTTCGTCTTCTAGCCCGTTCTATCTCAACTACAACGTCTTCTACGCTACCATCATCTGTCAACATGAACATACAATGAAAACAAGTAAGCAAAAAAGCGTGCAAATGACAATTGTTAATTCACCACGTGACAGATTGAGGGGAATAGTATGTCTTTTGATGAAAATAAAATTGCAAAATTAGTTGCATCATTGATTTCAAAAACACTTACAATAAAGAAGCGGAAATTGTCACAAAAAATATGCACATTTTATTACAATCCCAAAAGAAGGGGTTGGGTGCTTAGCCAAGCATGGGCAATAATTCAGACGAGTACATATACTTTTCAAAAAAAATTTCTTCTATAAAATATAAATCTTACTATTAGAAAAAAAAACATGGTGACATGGTACAACTCTGTCCATCTATGTGCAAAAATCACACAGTATCACAATTTCTAACCATTTGACAAAGACACAGCAAATCAAAAATCAACATGTCTTCTCATTACTTATTTATAGACATGAAGCTGACAGGATGGACCACATTATAACTCCCTGTTACTACAGTAACTACAAATAACTAAAATTAATCATAGAAATAATTCTATCAGACACTGCAGGATGTTCATGCATAAAGTGGAGCCATTATAATATGTATTATTTTACTGACCTTTTTGGACTCTGACAGTGATAACATCTGGCATGACATACTCAGGTTTTGGCCTCAATGGTTTTAGTGGGGTATTGAGTGGATCTGCTGATGTGATTTCTAACTGCACAGTGGCATTTGGGCCAACTCCTAGTTCACCTAGTGTGGTATCATTACCCATAGATTTACCATCATACATCAATACCAATACATCAACTGGCATTTTTAACTCAACAGAGAAGTGTTCTTTCAACTGTTCAACACGTTGTCCAAGACCACAGGCAAGGGTTGTAACTTGTCCACTAGGCATCAGAACAAATTTGACTGAAATAAAAAGAAGATATTTATTTATTTATTTAATTCTCAAACAACCCGACTCCCAGAAGATATTTATTTACAGTAACTTACTGTGTATAGCTACAGATTGGAAAATTGGATTTGGAATTTGAACTAAAATTTGAATTCTTAGAACGATCATTAGAGGGGCTCCCTACTCTATCAATGAATACAATAAAGGTGATTAACATACTCTATTTTTATGATAATGTAAATTAGCACAGGTGATGTGTTTTTAAGGAGAACAATTGGGTGACCTAAAAAAAAAGTTCAAGCAGTTCATAATGCAGTTGATTCTGATAGGCTAATACAATATAATTAAAACACCTTGTTTCTAGTTACCAATTTTGGTAGTACAATGTTCTTATTCTAATCCAGTAAGTGATTTTAATAAGCCCTGCTTCAGGAAGAGGGTCATGCACTCAATTATGAGGACTGTAGTGAAGGAAATGATATGTATTGTATGAAAGGGACAGCATTGTATCCTACCTGTAGCTGTAGCATCAACAAGTTCTTTTGGTGGTGGCGAAGCTGCATGGGGGTCAGTTTCATGTTTCTCGTTAGTTTCTTCAGTTTCAGCAGCCACATTTTCAGTTGTTGGCTTTTCATTTTCAGGTAATTTCTCTAAATTGCTACTTTCCTTTGGTTCAACAACCACTTCCATTGGAGGCACAGACTCTTCAGCTTGTTTGTCACCAGCATCGTCCTTTGGTTCTTTGGGTGCATCTTTTTCTTCCTTCTCACCAGCAGGCTGTACCTCATTTTCAGCAGTTCCCCCTTCTTTTGTTTCAATCACACCATCTTTACCTGCTTCTTTGTCTTCCTCACCTTCGTCAGCTGTTTCAGGCTTCTGTGACTCAGTATCTTGTTCATTTTTTTCTTCCACAGGCTTCTCAGTTGTTGCTTCCCCACTTTCTTCCTTTTTCTCTCCTTCATCTTTTTCATTTTCTTCTTTCTTAGCATCGTCACCACCATCATCTTTTCCAGCTGCCTCTTCTGTCTCATCTTCACCGACTTTTTCAGCATTATCCTCTTTAGCTTCATCAGTTGTTTCCTCAGCTTTAGTTTCTTCTTTCTCCTCTCCTGTTATCTCTGCTTCATCTTTCTGCTCTTCCATTTTCTCTGTTTCATTTTTCTGCTCTTCTACATTCTCTTTTTCTTCAGTCTGTTCCTCTATATTTTCTTTTTCTCCATCTGTTTCCCTTTTAGCATCGCTGTCATTATTTTCTGGCTCAGCTGGTTTTTCCTCTTCTGTAATTTCTGTCTGTTGTGCCTCAGCTTGTTCATCCTTACTTACTCCAGCGTTTGCAGGTGTTTCAGCAGACTCCTCGACGATTTCTTCGCCAGGGACCGTAGCTTCTTGTTCTGTAGGCTCCTCTTCCAGGGGCTTTTCTTCGTCCGCCATAACTACTTTTCTATCAAAATAGAAACGTAATGTAAAGGAATCGCTAAATCACACGAGGTAATAAACAATTGAAGACAATTTGCCAGTAAAGTTCACACAAAGTCAATATCTTACAGCAAAGTTCAAGGTTTGCTCGGTTAGTTAGAACTGTTTCGGCGCAATGTTTTTTTGTAAATAAATGATAGCAAACCAATAAAACCTTGCAGAAAGCAGCAATGACATTGTACGACAGAACCCAAAAATATTACATTATTTCAGCATCGAGTTCCAAATAGTGTTTGTCGTCGGTTAAAATAATGGTCGAGTCCCCAGTTCACTTCGCCATGAAACAACAGCGCCAATCAACATGGCACAACAATCAATCCCGTCGCTGAACGATTGAGAGAACATTGGCCTCAATCGCTGACACAAATTTGACATTTACTGTCTAAAAACACTATCTTGTTACTGTACAGGGTGAAGTATGTTGTATTTACACCTACCTTGAAGACTAATTTTATAAAGTCATCCACAAAAATCGCAAACCGGCAGATTTTAACGTTTTGGCACACATTCGTTCATAGCCACGGAAACACCACTGTTTATGAGCCCGTTCTGTTTGTGTGACGTCAGGTTTCTAAGGCGAGCTTACCAACCCTAGTATATAACAACCACTGTCATTGGTTGATCGTTGAACAGGGACCATAATAGACCAATCATTTACCACGATACATGCAGCGATGGAAGTAACAAGCGCCCTCCAAAGGTACTGCCGATTTGTATCTTCGGATACTCTCGGTAGTAATCGCCGATCGCCATAACAACAAATCGCAAAGTGTACGGAGGTTAGTGTGAGCTTTAAAATTCTAAAAGACAGTTTACATAACAGAAAAAATGATTATGTGCGTACAAGTTTGGTAGCACATATATATATTGTACCAAAGTTTAGCTGTCATTAGTTGAAACAAAGTGAGCAGCTGAAGGTAAGCAAACTAAATGTGTTGTTTATGCTGTTTACCTATCATGAAGGCAGCCATTTTGGTCGTAACTTGAGCTCGCTCGAGAAGTAACACTCGGTACTGTACTTTGGAAGAAAACTATACTATTCCTTGTCATTTTGTGCTCCGGTCTCAAAATGAGCTGCCATTTTGTCACTAGTTGGTGCGCAAAACATTTGCTCTGTTCTTTTATATCACTTCAGAATTTAATTTCAATATTGGCCGGAGAGCTACGTACCTCGGCTGTTGAACAGCTGAACTAACTGTGGATTCGATCGAGTCACTGAGCTGACTGTGAACTTCAGTGACATGTAGCATGTACCGATCATTTTTCAGAGAAGAGTGTATAGTACTCAGTTAAAGGTTTTAAATACAATTGAAATATGTATAGTTTATTAAATTAAAATGATAAGTTTGTTTTACTGTGTACATTTTGCTCATACCCTGTCATATACAATCCTGTTTTTTGGGAAACAGATTGAATTTTGCATTTGTAATTTTTTAGTACTTACACATTTATGTAAGGATAAAAATTAAGTTTTTAATTCCAAAATATTTTACACATACAGTACATTTATATACAATGCTACATTTTATTTAATTACTAGTAAGAAATCAAGTATTTTATTAACTTTTTTCAGATGGCGTCTTCAAGCTCACCACTGAACCGTTCTCGGAATGGACCACTGACAAGAGACAGTTTGGGACGAAGTAGTCCAACCACAAATGGCATTCATTTGCCACCGATCACATCAGGGTCCACTTCTGCTAACTCATCAAATGTTTTCGTCCCAAGTAAATTAATGACCTACAGGCGAGCCAACGAGATGCAAATGCTACTCACGGGTATAATGAATGAAAAAGCTTCAAAAAGTTATGAAGATACTGTTGATTATAACCAGAGGCAACCAAAGAAGCCTCCTGCCCCGGAGTACCCAAAAGCTGTAAGTTTTCATGCATTGCTTGTTGCTTTTGAACAGCCTTTAAATTATATTTTATAAACTTTTTGGGTTAGAAGTTTTTTTGGAGCCTTTGACGTGTCAAGTAATATGTGTAGCTGTGTATACAGTAACAAATGTTAAAGCTTCGCAAAATATCTGTATCACAAATTCCTTGTCAATAGCTAAATATCACCGGACAGTTCGGTGGATTTGTTGGTAATTGAGTTTTCAGCATCCTAGGGCATCAGCATCATAAAGTCACCAAATCACATGCAAGATTTTCTGTTTGACGATTGAAAATGGTCTATACATGTATTACAAAATCAATACTTGATGTAAAGCTGTTTTTCCCGTAAGGTTTATCTTAGTCTATGCCAGACTCGTTTTTTTCCTGTATTCCAATTAGATCCTTCCATTTTGATTTTTTATTCACCCTACTGCTTTGTTTGAGCAAAGTTTGAACATAAACATTGTGTACTTGTAGGTTGATTGTGTGTAGCGTGCACCTAAGGCAGAATTTGAACAGCAACCATTACCAAATTCATTCTTAGTGAAGACTATAAAAAACTCTAGGTTTTGATCAGTAAAATGCAAACATTGTAACTTTTATTTCTGATTTTTGGCCAAGTTGCACATAAGTGAAAAGACTTCTAAATAAGTCTTGTCGACAATACAATTTTAATATCAAAACATTTTTATAGTGTGGAATTATTAATTTTCACAAATATTTTATTTGACAATTTTAGATGTACTGGTAATGCAACTTTTTCAAGTTTTTAAATATTCACTTATGCTCAAAAAAAATATATAGCATCTAAAGAATGTATTGCAGCTCTTTTATGCTGACTAAATATCTGTAACTCTCAAGTACACAAATTAACATGAACCCAGCCATCAAGCTATTATGAACAGAGCTTAAACTCTTGCATACAAAGTGGCAAAAAGAGAACATTTAATTGAAGATCTAATCCATTGTTGCTTGTTCACAAGATTAGTATATTTGTAACTTACCAGGGTTTTAACTTAACATTTATATAAATTCATAGCTAGTATTGCATTCACAATACATACAATTTTTGTTTCGTATGTGTGATTTATTTGTTCTCACTAAATCATTTTTATTTTTATTTTACCTTTAATTTCTAACACTGTGACTGTTAACCCGACTACCTATTAACTACAATATTAATAAAGATGATGAGCAAAGACAGACGAATCAGAGTGAGTAGTATTTTCACTTTTCGTTTTTAAAGTTGTTGTTCATGTAATATATAACTGTTCATGGTTTTTATGTTTATTTGTGCACTTTTGTTTCACTGTATTTGCTTGTAAACTAAGAGGAGCCCTTGTAACTGAGATGTTTACTAGTATTATTCAACTACTAGGCCTGGAAATTGCCTCAGAGATGCTCCATCAATATGCAAATGACTAAACTTGCATCATAGCCTCAAATCATAACATTGCTGTATTTGAAAAGTATCTCAAAAAAAAAAATGAGCATAGACACACCTCTGAAAATATATGTTCTACGAATAGAGCATAATAAAGGATATAATATCTCAAATTAAACAAAACTATTTGATAATGATCAGTCCAAAAATTAAATTTTTAATTTGGGTATTTGAAATGCAATACTCAAGTCATGTTGATTAATTTTATCTACTACCATAGATGAATTACATGTTCATGAAACAATGTGTGGAAAGTGGACCAGTGGTGGAAATGGAACAACATTGGTTTGAATCAATAATGACTATGGTGCCAGACAAATTGAAACATTCTGCAGCTGTGAAAGATTACATAGAGGAACTGTTTGACGAGATACGAGAGGATTATGAAATTAGCATGAGGAAATCCATGGGTGAGTTATAAAACAGAATAAAAAATAATATGTATGGTAATAAATTATATAATGTTAAAACCATTAATTTTCACTCATTATTTGGATATACATGTATTGTTGATACAATGTATTAACTTTTAAATTCAAGAATTTTTCAGCGAATCTGTGAGTTCTGTTGTAATCATGTGTTCTATTGTTTTTTTTACCTATCTGGGAAGTTATTTTTATTTTGATGTTCGTGCATGATGTTGTGTATACCCCTTTGTACATTTTTATAATATTGGTGAAAGTACAAAATTAAATTTCAGCAAATTAACTCTTTCTCAGCTAATACCCCTATTTCCCCAAGATGAAAAAGTTATGCTTTCTGAGCTTGTGACAATGCAAGATCATCTCTTTAATATACAGTAACAATGTTTAACTTACCAGTTGAACAAATTGTGTTTTTTAATTAGTATTTAATTGTAGAATGAGTAATTACATATATATGTAAAGTGTGTGACAAATCCTAACACATAAATTAGTTTTGTCATTTTTTTTTATTAATTAGCTTGCCTTGTCTCTATGTAAACATTCTTGTTTTTGTAAGCTATCCTCACACACACTCGTACAGTTAAAACGACATTGTCGCTTCTGCTTTGTAGTTCAACATGTCTTATTGAAACCTGAGGTGAGAGGTTTAGAAGATGATACTTTTGGATCACTACCAGAAGAACCAAGGTAAAGTACCAGTACGATTGTGCGATATTGTGTTACATGATACATGAGATGGTGTCATTATTCTACGCTCATTTGTCAAACGCAAACGGCAAATATATATCAAATAACAGTTACAGTTTTCACTATTTAATGCTCTTATTTCCTAACAATGATGAATTAGAAGTAACTTTTTATGCCTAAACTTAGTTTGCATGATTTATTCTCTGGTATTGAATTAATTTGTATACTCATTACTTTTTTTCCAATATCTTGTTATTTTTCTCTGGGTGAGTTTAAATTTGATGAATTTCATTTTTTCATTGTGTGGTTTGCCGTTTTGCAATTTTAACATACTGACAGCTAGATACAGAAATCTATGGTTTCAGCCCCTGTGGCAGTCACCTATAATACCTTCCCGAGGTGGTAGATGCAATTAATTTGATTATCAGCATTTGCTTCCTGCATGTGATTTTATCCCTGAATTTTCAACCCCAAGTTATTGTCATCTCACACACATTAAGTTGGTTATGGTGATTAGAAAGCTGCTTTGCTATACTAATGGTATATACATGTAGGTCCAAGGCAATAACTAACTACATGTACCTTCAATGTGATGATGCAAACATTTTAACTTGACTCATCCTAAAATGTGTAAAATTACACATGATACTTACCTTTTTAGCAGATTTTCAGATTTAAAATAAAGATATTGACTAACAACATGTATATGTTGTACTAAATATGTACTAAAAATATTGATTAATATCTACTGCACCAGTATATTTGATTGTCCTGTATGTTTTTTTGTGTGAGGTGTGGTTTTGGTTGTGTTCCTATGAAACAATGTTCTTACTAAACATAAAACCTTGCTAATATACTGACTGGAATTTGTTGTTTTCTATTTAAATATTACATATACCTCATGTCACTATATGATATACGTGTAGGTGTAGGTGTGAAAAAAGAAAAAAAATGGATGGATTGTGTCAATGGGCTACATTTGTAGGCATATCATATTATATTATCTGTTCTCTTGTTGAGTTGCAATTCGTTCTCATCTTTCAGTGGTTTGGATTATTCAAGTCCATGGAGAGAAAGCTTCATCGAAAACAAAGCAGAAATTGAAAACTCCTTACATGTAACACATTCCTCCATGCAAACTGTCTTGAAGATGTGTCAATCGAGTCTTGGCATCCTGCCACTTGTCGATTTATCAGGAGTACGAGCCCAAGGGCCAATAGAAATTGAACATTTGAAGAATAATGTTGTATTAGATCTAGAGAAAACAGAAGAAAAACTTATGCATAGGTAAGTGTCTGTAATGGTCTTATTTTCTGTATCTTTGAACAAGCAAGTTCATTATCTTGTGGATTTGTTGTCATACTACCATAGGCACAAATTAATAGTTTTGTTATCTTATTTTCAGTTGGTGGCCTGAAGTACTGAATATATTTATGGACAGGAAGAAACTTCCTGAACTCCGAGGAGAGAAGCTGGAATCGTTTTACAACTGTGTACAGACATTAATATCTAATCAGGTAAAACTTGAACTAAAATGTGAACCAGCCATGGTTTTTTTCTTTGATTGACGTATCTTTGATTCCCATTGTCTCCTTTTATTCTGTGTGATAGAATCTGAGGTTAACTTAAATTCACACTTTTTTTTTAATGTAAGCTTCTGATTACTCTTTGCTGCCTTTCTATACATATACCTCCAAGTAAAGTGGTACTGTGATTACAGTGTATATGCATGGAATGGTGGTATAATATTGTCAGTTGTCTGCCTCAATGCATTACTCTTTTATTCCCCCAGTATGCCGGCGACACACTAACCCCCACTGCATGTGTTCTCCCTTTTTGTTTCTTTCAGATTAAAGACATGATTGTACGTACTGTTGAAGCATGGGTAGAGCTCTTTGATCTTGAACATAGACAGAACCTGCCTATATTCAAGATGGAATTGACATTTGACAACGATAAAATGGAGTTCTATCCATACTATTCAGACTTAGAAGAATGTCTGTTGTTCGTTGTAACTCAGATTACAAAAACCATGCAGGTAGTCCCAACAATACAGTCTTGGCTCTCGGGTACCAATGAGTTGTCTTCCATAGATGCTAGTACCGCGACTCATGTACTTACGTGGGCCAACACTAAACTCATTGAGGCCTGCAAGATCAACTTTGAAGGACCTCAAGCTCATTTACAGTCATACAGTAAGTGTGAGAATCTGTTTTTTACACTGTCAGATATCTACTTTTGAATATTGATTTGATGCTCAGAGGTAGATCATGGACAGTTAGAATAGCGTAGATTAGAATAGAATCAGACTTTATTCAATAATTGGTATATGGTGGATCAGTAGATCAGAAAATGATAGAATTATTACACACTGTTGAGTATTGTATTTGAATTAAAGATGAATAGAATAACTAACAAAAAAGAGTATGTTATTCTCAATTGAGCCTTCCCGAGTGGCAGGTTTTCAAGTTCAATACAACACCTGAGGTGAGGTGACTTTTATTTGATTTCCCTATCCAAGGGAACCAGCACATGGTAATCAGTAAACCGCACCAAATTCTTAGTTACATTTAATTAAAAATAGTTAATAAATATTATAAAATTAAATCAGTTTTAAATTGTTATCAATATATTATTATATCCACACATGTTATAAAGATGTAAATCTCACAGGCACATACATATTGATATCTACAGATTACTGCGCCATAATATTATAGAATTAGCATGCGCAGATGTGATTGTACATTCTGTACTTTGTTTTTTGATGCTTTTTAACACGTGTTAATTTTCACTTCCTTCCCATCCAGTGGATAAATATGAGTTCTTGTGCAATGGAGAAACTATGGATAGAGTGAACAAGTTTTTGGAAGAAGAGCATACTTTTGGGGACTATTGCGAGGTACAGTACTAATTCTTTCTTTTTGTTTGGTCAGAGATCAAAATATTTATCTCTATGCCTGTATAATCCATTATGAATTTATCAGTTCAATACTTGAAGACTTCCAGATTTGAAGATTTATTTTGTACACTTGTTTTAATCCTTGAAGTTTGTGGAAGAATTCCGTGACCGTGCCAAAGAAATCCTTGGGCTTGACTCTATTGCTCATTTTGATATGGTGAGACTGGACTGCGAGGACCTGAAAAGGGGCTTGGCTGAGAAGTCACGTAGTTATGCCAACATATTATTACAGAGGCTCTCTTCAGACCACATGGATGAAAACAAAGCGTAAGTTGCAGTTGTTAATTGATTATTTATAAAAATTGGTTATTGCCCATCAATATTTTAAGTATGCAACCCAAAAAAAAGCAATTGTCTAACGGTTAGAATAGAATTATTCTTGCTATAAACTGAAGAGAGTTTATTTTTCCCCTTTTCAGTATCTGCCAGGAATTTGAAACCATCAAAGCTCGCGCCTTGAAACATCCAGAAAACTCTGAGGAACTCGTGGACATGGTTTCTTACATTGAGAAAGCCAGAGTCGATGGCATTAGGGGACTGAATGAAAGAATCCAAGAACAACAGAAAATATTGAGTTTTTTGCTGGATTATTACTTTTTCCCACAAGAACACATTGACCTGAATTGTGTTGTCCTCACGTGGCCTAAGAATATTCGACCTGTGTTTGATGAAAATGATGAGGTAAGTCGTCATGTTAACTATTTTGAAATATTTCAAATGAATAAAAATCTTAGCGTTTATTAAAGTTTCTTTGAATAATTATTAACCCCTTGATGTTCATTTGATCCACAATTAACAAAGAGATTATTATAGAAAAAATACCTAATACATTTTTTGAGCTCTTGAAGCTCTCTTGCCACATTATTCACTACCTGCCTATCAGTACATGTATGTACATATTTGTATTTTGTTTAACATCTACTGATATATATGTTGGATTTCAGTTAGTAGAAGATGCTAAGAAGAAGGGTGAAAGAGAATTGCTGGAGAAGAGGGAGAAAGTGATGTTGGAATTGGATAAATTGAAGAGACGTGTGGAGGAGTTTGCAGAGTATGGCGAGATGGACATGATGGTGCAATACGTCAACGATGTGCGGGCTGTACAGAAGCGTCTAACTGAATGCCAAGAAAGCATTGGTTTTATTCACAAGGTGCTTACATCAGTTCATTCTATTTATGTTTGAAAGTACATGTATGTACTTGAATACAAACTGTGGTAGAATTATCAGATCTTGTGTTGCTGAAAGTAGTTTTATCGGTTGGTTTTGTAGGAAGAAGCTCTCTACAAGTGGGATCCAACAATATATCCAGAAGTTGAAGAAATTACGCATGGTATTGAACCATATCAGAAACTATTTACACTGGTTGTCAAATGGCAAAGAGCAGAGAAAAAGTAAGTGTTATTAGACTTCCTGCATTGAGAACATATTTGGCAGAGTTATCTTCAGTGTTTGGAATAGTTTCTCGCTTTCCCATGCAGTACTTGTACTCAGTGCCTCCTTGATACAGTCAGCACAATGAGTGAAGTCGTATACATTAATAGAAACTTGCTTTCTAGAGGTTGTTGTCAAATCCAATACATAGTTTCTCAGGATGTTGACAACAATACTATTTGTCAGAGGGCTCTCAATTTGTGAACATTTAGAGAGATGCTAAGATTGTAATGCTCTGATTTCAGGTCTATGGATGGTGCGTTCCTTGAATTAAATTCAGAAGCTATTGAAACTGAAGTTGATGAGTTCTGGCGAGAGATCTACAAAATCACCAAGTCATTTGTTAGCCAGAAAAAGAAAGAAGAAGCCGAAAAGGCCAAAAATGCACCTGTCAAACGCAGACGTCCAGGGGAAGAAGATGAGAAAAAAGATGATGAACCCGGAATGGCTGCCATCAAAGTTTGTGAGACAGTTCAAGAGCAAATTAAAGAATTCAAGGTAACTATTGGACATATTTTGGTAGCTTGCATTCAGTGATGAGTTTCTATTTTCATCACTACACGTCCATAACACATTGCAGTGTGCGGTGTACGGATGGCCGAGTTCTATTGTTTTTGCTGTCAGATGTATAAAATATATGATTTCATTTGTGAACTTTGTTTTAAATTGCAGGACTACATACCAGTCATTTCAACGCTCTGCAACCCTGGTCTGAGACAAAGACATTGGGATAAAATATCAGACATTGCAGGTTTCGATATGACCCCTGATTCTGGTAGCACTTTGAGGAAGGTACTCAAGAACAATTTGGATCCCTTCATGGAAGAATTTGAAAATATAAGTGCTGGGGCCAGCAAGGTATGTCAGAATCTCAGATACTTGTGTGTACGTTACTGTGGTTGCTGTTATGTACTATAACTGTAGCTGCATGCCTTGGTAACCTCACATAGTTGTACTATACTTTTTCTCGCTGAAAATGTAGATGACCAAATGATAATTGCTTTAATTCATCCTAAAACTTTGTGTATTCAACTCAACTCAACTATTGAACTTCATGTTCTTTTTATGTTTTTTTCACTGTTTTTAGGAATATTCACTGGAGAAAGCATCTCAGAAAATGGTGGATGAATGGGAGGATATTGAGTTCAACCTGACTGCGTATCGTGATACAGGTGTGAAGATTCTGGCTTCGGTTGATGATATCCAAACAACGCTAGATGATCAAATTGTCAAGACACAGACAATGAGAGGATCTCCGTTTATAAAACCATTTGAGAAAGAGATCAAGGTATAAATTAATTGGATTTACCTTGCTACATTATAAAGGCTAATGTTAATGTTGTTTGGTTTGTAAATGAAATCTATGTTAGCTACTTCAATGTAGAATTTTTAGAGGATACAAAGATCTAATTATAATTTAATAGGTGTATTGGTCTTGAACCAGGTTTACTGATAACAACTTAAACCATACTTAGATTCATATAAAACATTTCCCATCAGTAGGTAACAGTAGTATGCTCACTTTTGATAGTGGTGGTACATTGTGTGTTTAAAAACGTGTATACTGACTTTGAGTATGCTTTCAGGAATGGGAAGAGAAGTTAATTCATGTTCAAGAGACCATAGATGAGTGGCTGAAAGTCCAAGCTCAATGGCTTTATCTGGAGCCTATATTCAGTTCTGAAGACATCATGCAACAGATGCCAGAGGAAGGACGATTATTTCAGACTGTTGACAGAAATTGGAAAGATGTCATGAAGCACACTGGTAAAGATCCCAAGGTGAGCGTTTGAAAATTTGAATAATCCAATCTTGCAGTAAGTTGATTAAAGTTGTTGCTGGATTACCATGTTCCACTGTATATCAGCTGTAACGGTTTTTATTTTTGACAGGTGATGGCTGCCACATCATTGAGTGGTCTTTTGGAAAAATTGATTGACAGTAATGGGTTACTGGATAGAATTATGAAAGGACTGAATGCCTACTTGGAGAAGAAACGTTTGTTCTTCCCAAGGTTTGTTCACTAATCTCATTTTGATTACATAGTTTATCCCATATTTCTGTAGGATTTTTGTATGTTTTATTGTTGTGGTTGTATGAAAGCTGGGACTGACGCTTTTTTTCTGCTTATGATAGGTTCTTTTTCTTGTCCAATGATGAAATGTTGGAGATCTTGTCAGAGACTAAAGACCCACTTCGTGTACAGCCACACTTGAAAAAGTGTTTTGAAGGTATTGCTAAACTAGATTTCACACCAACCTTTGATATTCTTGGGATGTACAGCAGTGAGGGAGAGCGAGTCAAGTTCAGTCAGACCATTTCTACATCTGAGGCACGTGGGGCTGTTGAAAAGTGGCTTTTGCAGGTGGAAGAAGTTATGTTAATGAGTGTGAGGGACGTTGTAGAAGCAGCTTACGAAGCCTATGCTATTGAAGCCCGAGAAGATTGGGTGCAGGAATGGCCTGGCCAGGTGGTGTTGTGTGTTTCCCAGATGTATTGGACCTTGGAAGTTCATGAAGCAATACGTGACAACCAAGGGGGACTAAAAGAGTATTGGAATAAGCTGCAAGAACAGCTCGGTGATGTTGTAAAACTTGTTCGTGGTAAACTCTCAAGACAAACACGTACAACTTTAGGAGCATTGGTCACAATTGATGTGCATGCCAGAGATGTTGTTCTCGAAATGGTTGAGAAAGGTAAGCTTCACCTTAACAGATTTGTTATTTATCTTAGCTCAGTGACCGATCATCAAGCTCTGCTTTGAATTGACATTCTGTGGTAGTGCTAAATGTCGTTTTTAACAAACTGAACATTTTCAATAAATTTTTGTTTTGAAATATGACAGGTGTAAGTTCAGAGAATGACTTCAACTGGTTGGCTCAGCTTCGCTACTATTGGGAGAATAAGCAAGCTATGGTGAGAATAACCAATGCCACTGTTAGATATGCATATGAATACCTTGGAAATTCTGGAAGGTAAGGCACTTATATTAACAGTTCTGTTATTGTCATTAAACCCCCAAGCCTCACCCACTTAACCTCACACTCCCACATTGTGTAGTTGTTCCACATCAGACATTTGTAAAATGTAAATTTGTTTCCTATTCTCAGACTTGTAATTACACCTCTTACTGATCGTTGTTACCGCACACTAGTTGGTGCTTTATATCTCAATCTTGGAGGTGCGCCAGAAGGTCCAGCCGGAACTGGCAAGACTGAGACCACCAAGGATTTAGCCAAAGCTCTGGCTGTGCAGTGTGTGGTGTTTAACTGCTCTGATGGCTTGGACTACCTGGCTATGGGGAAATTCTTCAAGGGATTGGCCTCAGCTGGAGCCTGGGCTTGTTTTGATGAATTCAATAGAATTGAGTTGGAAGTATTGTCAGTGGTTGCACAGCAGGTAAATATCCTATTTATTTGAAGGCGTCAACCTGAAATACCAGAATGTTTTAATAGTATTTTAGTCATCAATAATGTAGTAACTAAATATTAATTTTGTTTTCTGATCAGATTTTGTGCATCCAGAGAGCTGTTGGGGAGGGAAATGATACTTTTGTGTTTGAAGGAACCGAGTTGAATTTGAAACCAGGATGCTTTGTTGCTATCACTATGAATCCCGGCTATGCTGGACGTTCAGAACTGCCTGACAATTTAAAAGTAAGTGAACTTCATGATTTTAAATATACCGGTAATATGATGAAGATAATGTAATTTGGTAACAGACTTGGAGAATAACCTTTATCTCAGAAGAAAGTCATTCCCTATTTAAATTGTAAAAATTACTTATGACTGTATTTGTTCTTATCCTAGGTGTTGTTCCGAACTGTCGCTATGATGGTGCCTGACTACGCCATGATTGGTGAAATATCTCTGTATTCTTATGGTTTTATTGATGCTCGTAATCTAGCAGTAAAGATTGTAATGACATATCGTCTATGTTCAGAACAGTTGTCATCTCAGTTTCATTATGATTATGGTATGAGAGCTGTGAAAGCTGTACTCGTTGCAGCTGGTAATCTCAAACTAAAATTCCCAGATGAAAATGAAGATATCCTTGTGAGTATTATTTAACCCTTTGAGTGTCAGATATTTTTTCCTGTCCAAAATTTAGTGCATGTGATTGGGTTTGGTTGGCCACATTCTAACTTGAGTAGGATTTTAGCGGAACTACCGTTTAACTTTTAAAAGGAAAATAGAACATTACGGCATTTACCACACATACAGAGATTAACCAATCAGTGACTGCGTACTGAACCAATAATGGAATGTCAGTATGCACCTATGGCTTATTATGGTTTCAAATATTTTCACATTTTGTAAAATTTTAACTAAATTTCATCATCATTTTGTACAATTACAGACAAGTCTGATATTGAATTTTTCTATGTTGAAATTTGAAAAAAAGTTCAATGTACTAATAAATGTTAGGCTTAGACTACCATATGTAAAATTCTATATTTTGTCAGGTTGCTATAAAATTTACAATTTATACAAATAGCGTTCAACCAGTATACATCTCGTGCACACTGACTAAGTTTTCCTCATCTAATGTAATTTTCTCATCATTTCAGTTACTTCGGTCCATCATTGACGTAAATCGTCCCAAGTTCTTATCGCATGATATCCCATTATTTGAGGGTATCGTGTCAGACTTGTTCCCGGGTGTGACCTTACCCGAAGCTGACTATGTTGTATTTTTGGATGCTGTGGAAGAAGTATGTAAGAAGCGAAATCTGCAAACAGTCAGTATGTTCACCGAGAAGTTGATTCAAACGTATGAAATGATGATTGTCAGGCATGGGTAAGTTGAGCAGTCTTTGCATTTTGCTTTTTATTTTTTCATATTGAAAGTGTCATCATTACATTAATACAACACAGTTGTTTATGTTTAGAATTTAACAATATGATTTCAGAAACTCTAATTTTCATTCTGTTTGTTTTTGTACAAGATTTATGTTGGTTGGTGAACCATTTTCTGGCAAAACTATGGTACTTCATGTGCTAGCAGATGTCCTAACACTACTTAACGAAAAAGGATTAAACGATGAAGAGAAAGTTATATTTCGTACTGTAAACCCCAAAGCCGTAACAATGGGACAGTTATTTGGTCAGTTTGATCCAGTTTCCCACGAAGTAAGTATTCGTAATGGTGATAAGTTTGTCTTAGCTGAAGAGTGAACTTGTTTTTCTTCCTCAGATTTCCTCTTGTAGCTGAAAGAAGAAATCAATCTATTCTCTCACTCTCTGCTCTGATTCAAATTATTATATTCTGTTATTGTTATAATGTGAACTGTTGAGTCTTTCTAAATAGTAGCTTTCTTTTTTGTAAACTTTCCGTACACAATGAAGAGTTACATGAGTCGGGAACAATCTCCGGTAAATATTGTAAATCAGTAAAATTTGATGAGCTTGATCCATGGTTTTCCTATACGTCGTTAAGTGCATGTTATCAATCCCCTACAATCCCTCCAGTATGTATTGCATTGAAGCTTGTGCTTCAAAGGTGGATTTGAAAATGCATCCTCTGATTTTCTATGTTCTGTTTTTGAAAACTTATGACACTGCACCACTCATCCCTAAACCAAAACATATCCATTCCATTTGACTGCATCAGTCCCACCAGTTGTCTTTAAAACATCTTCTTTCCTATAATAATAATTGTAATTATCTGCATCTTTTAGTGGACTGATGGTATTGTAGCCAATACATTTCGTGAGTTTGCTTCAGCTGAAAACCCAGACCGTAAATGGGTAGTGTTTGATGGTCCCATTGATACACTATGGATTGAAAGTATGAATACAGTATTAGATGACAATAAGAAACTATGTCTGATGAGTGGTGAGATTATCCAGATGTCCAACTCAATGAGTTTGATTTTTGAAGCAATGGATTTGGCACAAGCTTCAGTAAGTTAAATTTTATTCTTCATTGTTGTATAATGTGATAGATGTTAGTACGTGGGTGTGAATTCCGTTGCTTTGTTTATTCATTCATTCATTCGTATGTCTTCTGTTCACAGCCTGCTACTGTCAGTCGATGTGGTATGATTTACTTGGAACCTTCGCAGTTGGGATGGCAGCCCCTGTTAGATTCTTGGTTGATAGAATTACCAGAATATTTACAAAAGGACGGAGCGTTGCTGCGTGCACTATTCTCCTGGTTGGCCGAGCCACTGATGGATTATACAAGAAGAAATTGTAAGGTGTGTACAAATATTTATTTGTTTGTACCTGTCGATAAATGATATTTCAGCCTTGAAAAAATGGTAGCTATGGGACTAAATGACAATTAAAAATAAATCCTCCTCAACTTATTTTTTGTAGGAGTATGTTCCATCTAGTAGCAGTAATTTGATTAAGTCATTGATGTATATGTTCACCATGCTGATGGACGAATATGATGCATCCAGTAATAGTGGCAACCATCTCAAAATATGGACTGTGGTAAGTCATTATTTTAATTATTTTAATCATTTTAATCACTTGTTTTGTTACTATTACTTTGCCAAATTTGTGATGTACCTATGATTTTTTTTTCTCCATTTCTTGAACTAGTCTGCATTCCTTTTCTCAACTGTATGGTCCATTGGAGCCAGTGTGGACAGCGATGGACAAGTGAAATTTGATGCCCAGTTACGTGAAATGTTGACCGGCAAGTCAGAGAACTTCCCACCAATTCCTAACGAGGTTGGTAAAATTGATGTGCCCATTCCTCCAGAAGGCTTAGTCTATGAATATATGTACGAGGTAAGTTATCCCATTAATCTTATCTAATGAGCTAAATTACACTAATTCCTAACAGAAAAGCAAGAAAGCTTATTACCTACTTCTCCATTAAAATCAAAAAATGTGTGCAAAGTAACTTCATTTGCCACACACAGAACCAACAAATGTTTTCTGTGTCATGTTACTTTTACTGTCCATCAGAAAACAGCAGTTCTGTATGTTGCCTCATTGTTTTGATTCTATTATTTCACAGTTTAAGGCTCGTGGTCGATGGGTACATTGGAATGAAACAATTCGTAATAAGGAAATTGGTGGACCAGGCATGAAACCACAAGATATTATTGTGCCTACTATGGATACTGCTCGATATACTTATCTAATGGATTTGATGATTAAACATAAAAGGTGTGTTTATTTTCCACTCAAATATAGTAAAGTATGCATTAAATTGTGCCACTTAAGAGTTGACGATACAGATAAATTAATGGTTGACATATAGTGGGGTTTATCTGTTTCTTTAATATCATCTTTCAGAGCTGTCTTATTTGTCGGTCCCACTGGAACTGGAAAAAGTGCATATGTTAAAGACAAACTAATGAATAATCTTCCCAAAGAATCCTACCTACCTTTGTTTGTTAACTTTTCTGCACAGACGAGTGCCAACCAAACACAGGTAAATTTATTTCATTTCCTTCCAGTTGATACAATTTGAATTCGCATGTTGTTGCAAGTGTTGCATAGTCTGAGCATTATGTTTTAATTAATGAATTTGTCTGCCCACTCTATTAGGATATCATCATGTCTAAATTGGACAAGAGACGTAAAGGAGTGTTCGGTCCCCCCATGGGTAAGCAGTGCGTTATCTTTGTTGACGACATGAACATGCCAGCAAGGGAGCAATACGGAGCACAGCCACCCATTGAACTGCTCAGACAATATTTTGATCATGGAAATTGGTAAGTATAATCGTAAAGTGAAATTTGAATGTTGACAGTTTGACTTGAGACTGAACCTATTAACCATAGTGCATGATTTTAGAAATCTCAAGTTTTTAACTTTTCTTTCTTCATGTTTTGTCAGGTATGATAAGAAGGATACCTCCAAGATCACACTGACTGATATACAGTTTTTAGCTGCCATGGGACCTCCAGGGGGCGGTAGAAACCCTGTTACGCAGCGATTTCTGAGACATTTCAATATTATATCACAGACAACATTTAATGACGAAAGTATGCAAAGAATTTTCAACACTATCGTCAGTTACTATCTACGAGTAAGTCCAAAGTTTTGTTTCCCTTCTTGCTCAATTTATTTTTTTGTTTTTCATGCATATACCTGGTAGTCATAGTAGAAATTGTATTTAAATTAGGTTTTTGTTTATGGTGAAATTATGATGTTGACTTTTTTTATTTTTCAGACCAATGAATTTCCCACAGACTTCTTCACTGCTGGTACCTTGATAGTTCAGGCCACTATGCAAGTATACAAGAGTGCTATGGACAATTTGCTGCCAACTCCAGCTAAATCTCACTATGTGTTCAACTTGAGAGATTTCTCCCGTATCATCAATGGTGTCCTAATGGTGAAGAAGAATGCGGTTGAAAATAAAAGGACATTTACCAGGTGGGGTATGCTGGAGAAAGATGACTCTGATTTGTAAATATTTAACAAATTGCCAGTCACAAAGACTTTTGTTGTATACCTTGTTTTGTCTTTCTCATAGTTGTTTTATCATTGTGTATTTTCTCAGACTATGGGTGCATGAAGTGTTCAGGGTTTTCTATGACCGTCTCATTGATGACGCAGACAGACAATGGTTATTTGAGTAAGTGAACTCTTGTTTGTACTATGTTTATCAAAGATAGATCATAAAGAGATAAGAAAACATAAATGGTGATATTTCATTTGCACTGAGAATTTTACTGAAATGACATGATGTATTAACTTTCATACCTTGTACAAGATTAGTGTGGAGGTCCATGTACTTTCATCGGGAGCCATGGAAATCTTTTATTGGGAAAGAACAGAGATGAACAGAGGTTATTATAAATAGACACGTAATTCTATATAGAAAAGTTAAAACAGGTAGTACACTAGACAAAACAAGCTAATGGTTGTTTCCTAATGGTTATGTGTTTCTTTGCAGTATGACCAAAACGCTAGTTAAAGACATTTTTAAAGACAACTTTGATTCCTTGTTTGATCATTTGACTCCTGATGGTGGTAAAGTGAATGAGGATGATATGAGAAGCTTGATGTTTGGGGATTACATGAATCCGGAGGCTGAACCAGATGAAAGATTATATGAAGAGGTGAAATCTATTGACGAGTTCTATAAGGTTGTGGAGACTCAGCTAGAGGAGTATAACCAGACTCATAAAACCCAGATGAATTTGGTAATATTCAGGTAAGGGCACTTTAATTTTCATCATACTTCAACTGCAATGTCAGAGTTTTGACAATGAAAAACGGAAATACAAGTATTATAGGATAAACAAGCACAGAGACTATGAAAATGACAAAACTTGCATTATTTAAATTAATCCAATATTAGTATCTTCAATTAAAGAACACACAGGTGTGGTTATTACACAGACACAGAGTCATTGTTTCAACTAAGCTGCTGAGAATGTTGTGACTTCATCTCTGTACTAGTATATGAATACAAAATGCATAACATTTATAAGGAATATTTCTCAGATTGTTGGATTTCACTGAAAATGAGTAAGGTTTTTAGTAAACTACATTTATGCAATGCTGCAATTTAACTCAAGCCTTTCCCTGTGTCAATGTGTATGTTTCAGCATAATTTAAAAATACCTTATATTGTTAGACAACATCAGTTATTTTTTTTTTATTTATTTATTTATTTATTCAGGTATGTTCTGGAACACTTATCACGTATAAGTCGTGTAATTAAGCAACCAGGTGGCAATGCCTTGTTAGTGGGTGTTGGTGGCAGTGGACGTCAGTCACTGACAAGATTGGCTACTGCTATGGCTGAGTACAATATCTTTCAACCTGAGATTTCCAAAACCTATGGAAAGTTTGAGTGGAGAGAAGACATCAAAGTAAGTTATTTGAATAAGATTTCATCCTCTATTACTTACCAGTATTTTTTAGCTTACTAGTTTTATGTATTTAACATTTCCATATTTGTTTTATTAACCAGAATGTGCTGAAACAGGCTGGTGCACTTGGAAAGCCAACTGTCTTCCTACTCTCTGATACTCAAATCAAAGAAGAATCTTTCTTGGAAGACATCGACAACTTGCTGAACACTGGAGAGGTTCCTAACCTGTATGCTGTTGATGAGAAGCAGGAGATCATGGAAGCTGTCCGTCCAATAGCTCAAGCTGGTGATAAAAATGCCGATTTCAGTCCATTGGCGCTGTTTGCTTTCTTTGTGAACCGATGTAAAGAATTGTTGCATATAGTGATTGCATTTTCACCAATTGGCGATGCTTTCCGTAACAGACTGCGACAGTATCCGTCACTGATTAACTGTTGTACAATTGATTGGTTCCAGGTGAGTCCATGTTGTACTGTGATTGTTCATATAGCGTCCATCCATAACTTTCAAAATATACTGTGTATAACTTATTCAAACATGTGTTTGAATAATTATGTTGAATCATCATTTCTCATTTCATGTTCGCTTTTATTATCCTGTAGGCCTGGCCAGAGGATGCTCTCACCAGAGTGGCTAATAAGTTCTTGGAAACTGTTGAAATGGAAGATAATGAAAGACATGAAGTTGTGCAGATTTGTAAACATTTCCACACCAGTGCTAGAGATCTCTCTGAAAAGTACGTCAAGAACACTTTTAATAGTATAATATGGTGATCAAAGTAAAGCATTTATATGATTATTATATAGACTGTACCCTTGCTCTGTGCACTGCGATTCCTGAGCATTACCCATAACAGTAACATGATAATAAAAATCCATTTTATTTGTTTTCATGAAGGTTTTTCAATGAACTAGGAAGACACAACTATGTGACTCCAACCAGCTATCTGGAACTGATTGCTTCATTCAAGACATTGTTAGGTAGAAAACGAGACGAAACCATGAGAGCTAAGCGCCGATATGAAGTTGGTTTAGAGAAACTTGCTTTTGCAGAATCTCAGGTGGCCACCATGCAGAAAGAGCTGGTGGAACTCCAACCGCAGCTCGTGGAGGCATCTGCTGAGAATGAAAAGATGATGAAGGTTGGTGTGGTAGTTTGAATGTGGAAGTTAAATTGGATATTCATGAGTTTAGTGATGTTTCATGTTTCAAGCTCATTTTAAAAACTGACATTATTAATTGCTATTATTATATATATAATTAATTAATGTGTGGATCGATGAGCCTAGAAATGCCTCCATTACTTATGAGGCATTAAGTAAGCAACTTGCATTGCAAAATACTTTCATGCTTCTCATCTTCTCATCTCACTACAGATTATTGATAAAGAAACTATAGAGGTTGAAGCCACCTCTCAACAAGTGGCCAGTGATGAAGCTGTGGCCAATGAACAAGCTGCTGAAGCCCAGGCCTTGAAGGATGAATGTGAGAGCGAGTTAGCTGAAGCCATTCCTGCTTTGGAAGCTGCACTTGCTGCTCTAGATACACTGAAGGTAGCTGTGAACAAAATTGCTAATCTTTTCCCATGACAATCACTCTATCAAGTTTTGTCTTGTTTGCCTTTTCAGTAGGTTTAAACATGTGTTGTTTTTTTATCTCAGCCTGCTGATATTACTATCGTGAAATCTATGAAGAATCCACCTAATGGTGTGAAGATTGTGATGGCAGCTATATGTGTGCTTTTGGATATCAAGCCGGATAAGATCAATGATCCTGCTGGTACTGGTGGTAAAATATTGGACTACTGGGGGCCGTCAAAGAAGTTGCTTGGTGATATGAACTTCCTAAGTAACTTGAGAGTGTATGACAAAGACAACATCTCTGTAAGTATGCCTTGATGTGCAACTAATTAGTTGACTGGTTAATGAAAGTTGTCTAATGGCTAATCAAAGATGGCCAAGGCAAGGGAAAGCATTATTTACTATAAATCTAATTTCAAACACCACATTCAATGCACTGTGTGAGATTTCATATGCATCCCATGCAATGTGTAGTGTAGGTGAAACTCACGACAAAATCTCCTATTCATAAAGAATACCGGTTCATCAAAATAATTGTATCTGAATCATAAAATGTTGTACTAAACATCTCCTAATTGTACTTTCAACATAGGTCCATATTATGAAAAAGATTCGTACTGAGTACATCACGAATCCTGATTTTGACCCGGCTAAAGCCGCCAAAGCCTCATCGGCTGCTGAAGGCCTGTGCAAATGGGCATTGGCAATGGAAGTGTATGATAGGGTGGCTAAGGTTGTAGCTCCCAAAAAGGCAAGGTTGAAAGATGCTGAAGAACAGCTAGCCAAGACCATGGCTATATTGAACCAGAAGCGAGCAGAGTTAAAAGAAGTGCAGGACAGGCTAGCATCATTGAAGAAGAGTTTTGCTGAAATGACTGAAAAGAAGGAGAAACTTGAATTCCAAGTGGACTTGTGCGGTAAGAAATTAGTGCGTGCAGAGAAGCTAATTGGTGGACTTGGTGGTGAGAAAAGCAGGTAAGTGTTAACCAATCAATAGCATTGTTGTCTCTTTTTGTTTGCTGAGCTTGTTTTTGTATAAATGTTGACATGTACAGTATAGTCACATTATACACTGTTTCTAAGCAAGTGTTGGTAGAAGTTATAATGTCAGTTTTAAAATTGATTTCATTGCCTGTTTGCAGATGGATCCAAGCCGCAGCTGATTTGCAGCATACCTATGACAATCTGATGGGTGATGTGTTGATATCTTCCGGTGTTATTGCGTATCTTGGAGCATTCACATCCGGTTACAGATCTATATGCACTTCAGAATGGAGTGGCACTTGTAAGGTATGTTTACAGTATGCATACTACCAGGTGCTATGAACAGATACCTAATTTAAATTTTAACTTTGCACTGTTGCCCTAGCCCTTCTGTTGAACCTCTGTGTGATATCTAGTGAAAAATACTCATCAATTTATAACAAAAAATTTGTTTTTCAACAGGCTAAAGACATCCCATCATCCGCTGAATTTTCATTGAGCAAAGTCCTGGGTGACCCAGTCAAAATTCGGGCATGGAATATCGCTGGTTTACCCACTGACAATTTCTCCATTGATAATGGCGTTATAGTTGCTAACTCCAGAAGATGGTAAGTTTCAACAATTGAACATCTTTTCTTTCAACTTTACATCATTTTTAACAAATCAAATAAAAAAACTTTTTGTGTTCTTCCACACATATACAAAAATGTAAATCCAACACTTCAGAGGTCTTTGGTTTATAATGTTCAGTTTGCAAAGGGTTTAATAATGTCTGCTCATTTTGGATGTAAAATTGAAACAAATCAATGGGTAAAACAGCTTGATGCATAGCAATTTTATATTAACAACATTGTTGAATATTACCACGGTACTTGAAATATATTTATACTGTAGTTGTTTTGCGTAAGTAATTGAACACAATATTTAAAAATTACTGTATATGAACCAGTGTATACGAAATGTAACAAGTGTATATACCGGTAGTAAAGTGTTCAAATAGGTTTACTGTTTACTCGCAATATTGTTTCTACAGTCATTACTGCATTATCAAGTACATTTGTACATTGATGCATCTTTATATTAGTCATTAAAATAGATTTGTCTGTATAATTTTTAATTTCAGGCCCCTAATGATTGACCCTCAAGGTCAGGCCAACAAGTGGACAAAGAATTCCGAAAAAGACAATTCCTTGTCTGTTATCAAGTTAACTGATTCTGATTATATGAGAACTTTGGAGAATTGTATTCAGTTTGGCAACCCACTACTGTTGGAAAACGTTGGTGAAGAGTTGGATCCATCTCTAGAACCATTATTATTGAAACAGACATTTAAACAAGGTGAGTAGACTTGTGATTGGTCGATGTACGGGAATAGAATCTTAGGCTAGTTTATGTTCTGTTTCTTTAATTTATTGATGTGCATTGTAAACTGAACAATTTTCAGGTCAAAGTTTTGATGCTTAACAACTTTCTTTTAACAGGTGGTATGGAATGTATTCGTCTTGGTGAAAATGTTATTGAATACTCAAGAGATTTCCGTTTCTACATTACTACAAAGTTGCGTAATCCTCACTACCTACCAGAGCTTGCCACTAAAGTGTCCTTGTTGAACTTCATGATTACACCAGAAGGTTTAGAGGATCAATTATTGGGAATAGTGGTAGCTAAAGAAAGGTACTGTTCTTCTTCTTTACATATTACAATTGTGGTTCCTGTTCAATAGGTTGCATTTCTTAGTTAAATATATTTAACTATATGTTATATTTATCAGTTCGCTTATTCAATACGCCATTTGCAGCTTTCTGTTGTGTTTGATGAAATATCAGTAACTTATAAGCTATCTCAGAAGTTGGTTTATGTTCGCCAGCTTCTACATTCTCACTGAATCAGTAAATATTTTTCTGTAGTTCAAATCTGCCAAGATGTGGTGTCGTTGATAGATATTTACTGTTTTTATGATTTTGACATTACCACATATGAAATAAAAATAAACAAAATAGCAGATATGATGAAGTACTTAAACAAAAATTTCATGCGATACTGAAACTTGAAAATTGTCTATAGAGCACAAAAGTGCTTTACACTGTATACCACTTCATAATTCTATTCTGACAGAGCATATATTACTGTCTGAAAGTCAAAGTCTCAATTAAAATATGAGTGCCTTGTGCCAAACTTATTTCAATTAATTCATGTACTCTTTTCCTCCTAGACCCGAACTTGAAGAGGAAAGAAATGCATTAATTGTACAGAGTGCCACCAACAAGAAACAACTGAAAGAAATTGAAGATAAAATCTTGGAAACCCTCTCGTCCTCCGAGGGGAATATCCTAGAAGATGAATCTGCTATTCAGATCTTAGATTCGTCTAAAGTATTATCTGACGAGATATCCAAGAAACAGAGAATTGCAGATGAGACTGAGAAGAAACTGGAAGAGTCTCGTGCCGGATACCGTCCCATTGCTAAGCATTCCAGTGTATTGTTCTTCTGTTTGACGGACTTGCCAAATATTGATCCTATGTACCAGTATTCCTTGACATGGTTTATTAATCTGTTTGTCAGCTCAATCCATGACAGGTATATCCTGATTTTAAAACTTTTTACTTTAATAGCTTGTTTTAATACTTATGTCCATACACTCTGTGTGTTGAATCCGTCTTGAATTGTGTTAACTCATTTCTACAGCTCTCTTGTGATATGTTTATTATTTATTATTATATTATTTGTTTATTTCCAGCAACAAGTCCAAGATTCTGGAAAGGCGGTTGAGATACCTGTCAGATCATTTCTCGTACAACTTGTACTGTAATGTCTGTCGATCGTTGTTTGAGAAAGATAAACTGCTGTTCTCTTTTCTGTTGTGTGCTAACATTTTGATGTAAGTATATCACATGGGCAGTATGGTATTTATTACAGCGAATGTATAAGGAGAAGAGGAGATCAAATTATATGGATTAGTGATCTCATAATGGTTTCTAGTGGGAAAAGAATTGGGAGGGAGATAGATCTTACAAAGTGAGAGGTTTAAAATGAAGCACTTTTAAAAATGTCACTGCATTAGATGGAGGAGAGTTGATGCAAGAAGTAAAACCTTTTAACACAAATATTACTTTTTCAGATATTGTTAACTGTTTCATGGTTACCAGTCAGCAGTAATTAGATATTGTGACTTTCCAACTATTAATCGTAACTATCGCAGACTATGCATCTTTCATTGCATCATAGCATGAATGCTAGTTTCCAATTCATTAATTTCATCTTAGTAACAAATACTTGATAACATTTCATTTCCTGTTATACTACTTCCTTCATGACTTCTACTCCCTACTACACACAGGTTCTCTCAAGAGGCTGATCCTCAGTAAGTGCACCTACGACCCCCACCTCAAATACATGCATTTGGCATGTTTTAGTTTATTTGCCTGCCTGGTTATTTCTAACACCTTTTTTACATTGTTTTCTTTCATTTTTTAACACTAACTTTTATATGTAATCAAACTTCACCGTGATTGAACCAAGTTTGCGATAATTCAGCGTGTACATCTGATTACACCATGCGACTATGTTTTGGTTTGAAAATTGCACTCCACGCTGTATGTAAGATATGATGACACCAAGGTGCCACTAATCTTGGCAGGTCCTGTGTATTCTGTAACACTATTTCAAATTCACCTTTTGACTGTGAATGCATTCTTTATAAGCTATCTGACTTGCATGCGCTCGTCTTATCTGTTACTGTAAACGACACCTTGTTTCTTCACAGCTATACTGCTATTACATGTTTTATTATTATTGCGTCGTTATCGCATTATAATGTTATCATAGTTTTGTATTTATATATTGTGTATTTATGTGTTTTGAATGTTTTTTAATTTAAATCGTTTTATTTTCGCTGCTAAAAATTTTCGCAATATGGTAATTTGAGGACATTTGCGAGGGACAAAATGTCATGATAGTTGATGTGACTTTCCGTTGGCCCATAAAATTTCATGTTTTTCCCAAACCCTGGAAAACTTGCCTCTTGCAAAAATAAAGCGTTTTTTGCTGTGAATTTATGTTGTTGGTTTACTAATGATCAATACTTTTTTGAAGTCTTCTTATTCTTACCAATAATTTTACTGCAAATTTGCTCATTAGTGCTAAGAAAGAAATGGACCAGGTAGAGTTTATGTTCTTTCTGACTGGTGGAGTTGGCTTAGAGAACAAGTTAGAAAACCCAGATAGTGGATGGGTCTCAGATAAAAGTTGGGATGAGATCTGTCGTATGACTGATATTAAAGCTTACAAAGGATTCAGGTTTGTTCTCATTTCATCAAGCGTTTAAACTTTTAAGTAAAAGTATCTGTTTGCAGACAGACATGAGGTATGAGGTATCAATGTATAAAACAGCTTGATGTAAAGCAATTTATTATTTGTAATAATGTTATAGTTGAAATATATTTACACTAGAAATTTTGTATAAGTAATCAAAACATGATATTTACATTATTTTATTACATGACATTTCTGTCCTAACTATACATATAGTCAATGGCTTGTTATTACCATGATTACGTTTGTGCTAGAACTGTAATTATCATCGTTATGTGTTTGATATGGATATAAATAATATTTCTCTTTTAATTGCAGAGACCATTTCCAGGACAATTTGGATGAGTGGCATACCTACTTTAGCAGTACAGAGCCTCACAAAGAAATGCTGCCTGCACCATGGAATGATAAGTTGTTAGACTTTGAGAAAATGATTGTCTTGCGTTGTATTAGACCAGATAAGGTGAGGTTTCAGAAATATCATCGTAATAACTGATCTCAGTTATATTTTTTTGATGATAATAAAGTGGCGAGGTATAGTATGCAGTTCAAATTTGGTATAACTGGCTCAGAAATTTCTGGAGATATTAATGAAAATGTGCCTCATTATTTTTATACATAAATAAGATTTTTTTGGTATTAATATTTTGTTCTAGGTTGTCCCAGCTGTAACTGACTTTGTCAAAGAAAAGCTTGGACAGAAATTCATCGAGCCTCCACCGTTTGATTTATCACGATGTTACTACGATTCTAATGCCTGTGCACCATTGATATTCATACTGTCCCCTGGTGCTGACCCCATGGCAAGTTTGATGAAGTTTGCCGGCGATCAAGGATTCAGTGGTGACAAATTTAATGCTATTTCCCTAGGACAGGGACAGGTATGAATTTTTTGGTGGATTGTTCTTGTTTATTTAATGTAACCTTATGAATAAAATATGGCCCTTGATTTCATGGTATTGTTAGGGAGCATATTTGGATACCCTTCCCTCTCAACTATGGGTTGATGTACAAAAATATTGAAATCTTTCTTTAGACCCTCAGAATTTTATCAAAAATTCACACCTTGTAAGGCCTACTTGAAGTACAATCACTATATTTACAAATGCATCGAGTTGGAAATTATGACATGTGTGCGCATTTTGAAACAGTGTTGTTGTACCAAACTAACTATGTTTGTCAGAAAATGTCCACACCATGACCCAAACCAAAGTCAGTAGGACCCAGGGGGTTATAGAGAACCATGCTAACTGTGTTATACTTGTGTTGCTTTGTGCAGGGACCTATAGCATCCAAGATGATAAATGTAGCCAGGGAAGATGGCAGTTGGGTTGTGCTGCAGAATTGTCACTTAGCTGTCTCCTGGATGCCAGCCATGGAGAAGATCTGTGAAGACTTGTCACCTGAAAATACAAGTGTCGATTTTAGATTGTGGCTAACTAGTTACCCATCTGATAAGGTATGCAAAGAGCTCTTAGGGAAGTTTCAGTGATGTACGTTGCAAATGTGAGCTCGCTGTCTAGGATGAATAAACTATATGTTCATATAGTTTCACCAATCCTATCCTGGATTCAGGTCATATGGAATTTATATGCAAATTGCCAATAGTATTTGGGTATTATTTTTTTCCTTATTAAAGTTTTTTTTTCTCTCTCTCTGTAGTTTCCAGTGACTGTCTTACAGAATGGTGTTAAAATGACAAATGAACCGCCAACAGGTCTGAGACAAAATCTGCTACAGTCATACTTGAATGATCCAATTAGTGATCCGGAATTCTTTTCTGGTTGTCCGGGTAAAGAGTTGGTGAGTTGATACAGTTGCAGTGAATACTTAGTTTTACTCTTTCACTCAAAATTCAGAAGAGATTAGACTTTACTATGCTGTTTGTTTTTTTTGAAGCTGCATATATTTGTGCATATTCCTACTATAGCCAATATATCACAAATACTAAGTAATTTCCATAAATACGTTTGCCTCCTTCTTTAGATTTTTGAGAAGCTGCTGTTGAGTTTATGCTTCTTCCATGGTTTGGTACAAGAAAGAAGAAAATTTGGACCTCTAGGTTGGAACATTCCCTATGGTTTTAACGAATCTGATTTGAGAATCAGTGTGCGACAATTGCAGGTATGTTTCTTTCTCTTCGTTGATTTCTCACAAAACCTTACTCACTCAAATACTTTATACTCAAAGAGAGTATAAAGATGTTCACTATTAAAGACAAGAATAAGTTCCTAAATTGATGTACTTGGACTACGTGTCTCCATACAACTTCTCTACCAAGTAAAATTAAAAAAAATTTTTTTTTGTGCCAATTAGATATTCATTAATGACTATGACGAAGTGCCGTACGACGCCATATCTTACCTGACTGGCGAATGTAATTACGGTGGCCGTGTGACTGATGACAGAGATCGCCGAACATTACTAACCATATTAGATGATTTCTACACACCAGCAGTTGTTAATCAGCCGAAATATAAATTCTCACCAAGTGGTGTTTATTACTCACCACCCAAAGGCTCATACGAAGACTATGTTGAGTTTATCAAGGTAGGAATATTATTTGTACTGTTCTTAATTTATCTGTCACTTAGAACAATGTGAGAATGATCACTAATGGCTTATTTTTAATACTGTTGGCCCACTTGGATTCTCTTTCAGTATTCTTCTGTCATGTCTGATATATTTTAGATTAGTAGTGGTTATCGTTATTTAATCATCATACCAATTTTTTGGCATTTGTTTAAATCCTGATTCACATTTTTCATTCAACAGGCCTTACCATTGATGCAGAAGCCTGAAGTATTTGGCATGCACGACAATGTCGATATCAGTCGAGAACTGCAAGAAACACGTGAATTATTCAATAATGTGCTACTAACTCAGGGAGGCCGTGGTGGGGGAGCCTCCGGTAAAACAGATGATACCTTATTTGAGATTTCACATGATATTTTATCCAAGGTAAACATTTGGTTTCTTTTGTCACTGTATTTAACTATTTAATAGAGCTTGGTCATTAAATATTGTGTTTATCATTAATTGAACTAAAATACCATTATGGTACAACCTACATTTTACATATGTAAAACATATTTTTTATTGCAGCTACCCAAAAATTTTGACCTGGAAGCTTCATCTGCTAAATACCCAGTAGAATACTCTGAAAGTATGAACACAGTGTTAGTACAAGAAATGGAACGATTTAATAAGTAAGTATTATATGATGGTAAAAAGCTATTAAATAAAAGCTATTACCTATTTAGGCGACTCATATGGCTGTTTAAAATGTGCCTTCTTGTCAACAAGAATTAAGATTAAATCTTGCCCATCTTGTAAACAGTCAAAGCCATATTTTAAAAATATTTGGCAGAAATATAAAGTACTGTGAAATGACTAATTTTCACTGGGTTTAAATTTCGCTGATTTAGCATTTGGCATATTCAATGGGTTTTAAATTCACAGTATTATTTTTTAGATAATGCGTTCTATGCTTAATTTCATATATTCAATGGGTTTTAATTTAGCGCATTTTCCAGTCAGCGAAATAAGCAAAATTAAAACCCAGTGAATAATTAATCCCTTTACAGTATTCCATTCCTTCTGATTATTGAAAATGGTATATGAATAAATTAGTGTGGTTGTGTACAATCTGCATAAAAACAAAGAGACAAGTGATAACAATTGAATGACAATTATCATAGCCAACACACTTGGGTCATATACTTATCTTAATGTATTCTATGTGCTTTTCTTGCAGTTTATTATCCACGATTCGTACCAGTCTAGTTAATTTACAAAAAGCTATCAAAGGTTTGGTAGTTATGTCGCAGGAATTGGAGGCTGTAGCCAGCAGTCTCCTCATAGGCAAGGTATGTAATTTGTTTCGGCTTGTGAAACAAGCAGTGAAAAATAGATGCAAAAAAAAAAAAGGGTGTGAACATCCACAGCATGTACAAAAAAAAGGGGCTTACAGGAATTGTTTTTTTCATAGGTGCCTGAATTATGGGCTAAAAGGTCATATCCAAGTTTGAAACCACTAGGCAGCTACGTCAATGATTTCCTGCAAAGGTTGAAGTTTTTACAGACCTGGTATGATGAGGGCAAACCTAATGTCTTCTGGATATCCGGCTTCTATTTCACCCAAGCTTTCCTCACTGGTGGTATGCAAAATTTTGCCAGAAAGTATACTATACCTATTGATAAGTTGGGATATGAATTTGAGGTGAGTCTTTCTTTGCAAAAAACCCAGTGGTTTGTTTAGTGATCATGTACTATTTTAATATGATATATAAAGGATATATCATAAGCTTATCCTTCTGCTTTGTGGTATGATCATTTTAATAGTTAAAAACTTGGACACCTTAAAAGGAACATGTACCACAGACTCAAATATGGAACCCACTCGCCAAGATTTATTTATTAATGCAGGTGCTTGCATTTAAATGAGTCTGGTTGATGCCAGGATATTGTTTTAAATCTTCATGCCTTTATTATAGAAAGCTTGATATCCAGGCCCAATTTAGTGTATCAAATTTGTTGTTTTGTGCATTGCATTTGACATGAAAATATTGCCATACTAATGAATAGTGAACATGTCCATATTTTCAATAGGTTCTTCCACAAGAAACAAGTGACACAGCACCAGAAGATGGTGTCTATGTATTTGGCATGTTCTTAGATGGTGCTAGATGGGACAAAAAGAAGTAAGTGCATTTCTCTTTTTTGTTGAAATACTTATTTCAAATCTTGAGTTGATCTTTTTGAATAGAACATTATTCAATCTATAAGACGACATCAATAATTGGGACTTTTCATGCTATGTCTTTTACACAGAGTTTTGGCATGTTTATTGACTCACAAGTGATATATGTTGTAATCCAAACTTATAATTCATATATTATCATTTTACATTACAGTGGTATACTTGCCGAATCATTTTCCAAAGTATTATTTGATACTGTACCCATTATTTGGGTTAAGCCAGGTAAGTTGTTCATGAATCAACACATTCATGTGCTTCTGTATACTTGTCATTGTCATGGATGCTTTCTTCTTTGTATTCTTCTTTGCTGTATAGAAATCTATATTTTCTGTCAAAGCTCTTAAAACTTGTATTATACACAGAATAGACAGTTTAAGTTGAATTCAAATTTGTCACTACTGAACATGTTACTGCACATATATGCAATGCGTTATGGGGGGTAACCTCATTGTATATAATGGAAATCACTCTGGAAACTAGCCTAAATTATAGTTTTCACAATACAACGATTCATATCAATAAAAATGTACGACTCTTTCCATCCCATGTCAACAAGCAAATTCATATTTTTATGAAGAAATAATCACACCATAGTAACCAATGTATAAATGCCAATGTTGACAATTTTCCATGATATTTCAGACTTTTGTGACCCCAATTTTGTTCCCATTTTTGGCATCATGAACCTATAATTATGAAAGTATTACATATAAATCTGAAATTCAACTTGAACCTCTTTAAATATTATTATTTTTTTTCTTTTTAGGTAAAAAAGCGGATTTCGCAGTGAAAAATGATTACACATGTCCACTATACAAGACAAGTGAGCGACGTGGTACACTATCCACTACTGGTCACTCTACTAACTTTGTTTTATCCATCGAGCTACCAACAGACAGGGATACGAGACACTGGATTAAGCGTGGTGTTGCTTTGCTTTGTCAATTAGATGATTAGTAATATACCGTCCATATTCAAACAATGTTATCTAAAGGCTTCTTACTTATAAAGTATTTTGCTTTAGATTTTTAGATTCTAGAGTGAATTTCCTGTATATTGTATATTAGAAAAAATATAGTTCAGTTTTCTCTTTATCTTTGGAAACAGATATATATTGTAAAATACTATGTCTCCGAAAAGGTGAGTATAAAATTGCTCTCTTTCGACTTGCAGTGACTGGCATTTGTAGTGATTTTTGGGGATGACAAATGAAAGTACACAAGTTAATAACCAGCGTAATAACAAATCTGTACTATGCGTCTCAGAAACTAATTTATTTTAATTGGAATCCAAGCGAATAATCCTTGTTGCAATTGAAGTACATTGTAAAATTAGTCATTTGATGAAACATAGCGTGTCTATAAATGTGTGTACTTGCACCTAATATTGCATCCGTCCTTCCTAATGACATTTATTTTTTTTTAAAAAGGAAAATATGTATTTTGTAAATATTTTGATGATTTAATGATTCTTACTGACTTGTATACTAATGTAAAGAATTTGAAGCATGTCTTTCCTTACATGTAAACTATTGTGTTATATAATAAAATGTACATTTTATCCTTGAAATGTGTCGACTAGATTTCATCAATTGAAGAATTCTTTTAGAGGATGAAATCACATCAAACAGGGAATTTGGAATATCAGGATTTTTAATATTCACTGTCATTGTGTGGAGATGCTAAAGCCTTCAATAGGGAAAGCCTGAAATATTACTAGTACCGTGCAAGTGAAAATTAAACATTTTGTTGGCGGTGTTTCATCAATGATTGCATAGAATTAAAACCAAAATGGGGTATAATTTGTCATAAAATGACTACTTCTGATTGAATATATTTATAAATTTATCATTCCATTAAAGATCACATCTCCCTGGCTGTTGGCCTCTGACCCTCAATTATTTTTTTTTTACCATAAGAAATGTGGTTGGAGAGGTTGGGAATCTAAAGGACAATTGCTGTTCACTTGTCATAGATGATTGACCAGATTTAAATCTGTGAAACATTTCGATTTCAGCGATTAGTCATTTTCACCACAAGGGAGTTTTATACTGCCTGAAAAGAGACATCGCAAAATTATTTAACTCTATAACTGTCATAAACATGCCTGTAGCTAGTCCTGTTTTTGTAATGTTATCTGATAATTTGCATTTTCACAAGATGACAACTTCATTCAATGCTGTTCAGATCACAATTTCAATGTAGCCATTTCCCCTCTATTTCAAAAAATAATAGTTTCAAAGATTGGAAAATAGATTCTGTATTCTATATTCAAGAAAATGCTGATCATATCAAAGTCTTTTACATTACTGGGTTGAAAAACAAGAAACTTGTTGACAGTTTTACAAACAGTAATTTATTACATTATTCATATGTAGATTGATACACAGTAACAATATAGACAAGTTGACTTTGATAAACACCCAATCTCTGACTGCTACACAAATCATACTATCATGAATCAAACTAGCTACAAATTCAAATAGAGCTCATTGGAAAATAAGTTTTATCTCGGACAACTACTGCCATGCCTGTAACAAATTTAATGTAAGCCTTCATGTTGTGTAAAGTACTAAAGAATTAGAAAGATACAGTATTAATAGTTGTCTAAGCGAATACACGTTTGAGTTTAAATTATGGCTTTGTTGGAGCCAATGTATGCCATTTCAGTAGAGTGCCCAAGATCACACAGGTCCTTGTGGGTGTACAACATGCACCAAGTTTTGATGAGCATGTATCAATTTAATAGACGTAAAAATGCCACCTGCAGAAGGCACCAATTGTATCATGGGCACATGGTCTAATAATAAAAGACAGTGGAAAGGCACCAATCAATTTAATGGATTTTTCTTTAAATTGACATTTTTATAATTAAAACTGATAATTACAGTAACTTGCGTTGATATATCAGAATGTAGCAATTATTACAGTTGTGTGTTTTCTCTAGATAATAGCTGGAATTTAGTATGGTGCAATGTACATTTGTAATAAGTTACTACAAGTAATTCATTTTAAATCAAAATTCTGCAAAGCTCCTGCGTGAATACTCATTGTTGATTTAAAAAAAAAAAATTCTAAGAAATGAAAATTCCCAACAGTCGGTGAAGGAGCAATGGCATTAGAGGTTAGTATCATCAGCCAACAGATGTTCAGCAGCAAAATGAAAAAATCCATTCTGAAGTTTTTGAGATTTTACTTGCACAGGCCAAGATGAGATAATTAATATACATATCTAATATATCTAATGTTTGTGTATTACCCCAAAGTAACTATGTAGTAAATGTGATTAAATTCCATTTTGAGATTTTGTTCACCAAGACGGACAGACTCATTATCTCCCTTGTGTGCTTTGCACACACAGGAGCTAAACATGATGTAAAGAGAAATAGTAAACTGAAAACACTAAAGATTGCATGTAATCTGATTAAATATAATATTAATTTTTAAAGTGTTATTGCGTCCAATAAAAAAACAATATTTTTTGTCATGATGTTCCTACAGTATATAGAGGAGATGCTACATTTTTTTTATACTAGTATGCAAACTGATTTACAAAACAGTTTTACAAAATAACACAGGTAAATAAAAGGTTATTCAAGAAGACTTTCACATTCTCAAAGCTAATGTGAACTGACACAATTTACAGTTAGTAGCAAATTATATTTCTTCAGTAGGGTTTTCGAGGATTATTGTCAATTAAATGAACAATACCCTCCAGCACTCTCAGAATAAAATGAGCAGGGAAGCAAGGACAGAGGCTCTATTTTTAATAAGTCATATTTGTTTTAGCAAAAAAAGCATCATTTTAACACATTTCATGTTTTCAGTTCTGGGAGTGTTGATTCAAATATTTACAAAATTGGAATACAACTTTAAACCCTGAATAGACATTAAATTGGTGCATAGCAGACACCCTAGGGGGATGATTATTTTGCAATATGCAGACTCGTAGCATATTTTAAGATCAGGCAAGATTATTGACACCCTAGGAGAATGATTATTTTGCAATATGCAGACTAATAGCATATTTCAAGATCAAGCAAGATTATTGACTTCCTGAATTTTTTCAAAAATACAATACTATCCACAACATGATGATTATATATGGTTCGGAGGGGGAAGTAGATTTTAGGATAGATAACATCCTAATACTTGGTCTCTTCAGGGATATAACGCCCTTCCCATGATGAAATCATAAGGCGGATATATGATCTTGGTCAGATATTATATCCCAGAAAAGTCCTCGCACACGCTTTATCCTACACTTCTCAATTTCTAACTGGTTGAAAACCACAAACTAAATTTAATCTACAATACAGTATTTGCTTTATTAGAAATACACATAAACTAGTAATTGCATGTATTGTATGCTAGATCATTGAAATATGCATTATTTTGACTATCCTGTATGCTAATTTCCATAAATTCCATAAGCACTTCTAACAGAGCAAATAGGTTATGGCTTATTTGGAATTTAGTCGTCTGTAGTGATTGTTAAAGGTTTTCCCTTGGGATCATCAAACCTATCCATGGTACTGAGACTCAGCAACAACACCAAGCCAAATGCTAATATGAGCACCATCAGCAAGACTGTCATAAGACTCATCCAGACCTCTGGGGTGAAGATTCCAATGCAATCATCTGCTATAGAGAACCCATCACTGGTAACATTAAATGGTTGAAACTGTCAAAAAAAAAAATGAAAATATATACCATCATAAAAACAAAAATTTTCTTGTTCACATTCAACAAATTATGTTTTAATGCTATAATGACTATAAACACAGAATATAGCACGGTCTGTTCAAATTATTGTCAATCAAATTTATTCAAACATCTCGTACTATGGGATGGATTCAAATCAAGTATAATACTGCAAATGCAAATCCTTAATCTATACTGCTTACGTTGACAACATTATCAATCAACCAATCAAATTTACAGTCAATAGCTGAGTATGATGAGATAATACTAGCATCATATCTAGGCATAGTTGATGGAATTTTCAATCAACCAATCAAATTTACAGTCAATAGTTGAGTATGATGAGATAATACTAGCATCATATCTAGGCATAGTTAATGGAATTTTCAATCAACCAATCAAATTTACAGTCAATAGTTGAGTAAGATGAGATAATACTAGCATCATATCTAGGCATAGTTAATGGAATTTTCAATCAACCAATCAAATTTACAATCAATAGTTTAGTATGATGAGATAATACTAGCATCATATATTTTCTGTTGTTAATCCTTGTAAAATTCAGACAAATGCATTCACTTGGGTGATGAACACTATGCATCACCATGAATTATATCAGATATACAAACCAGTGAGTGATAATAATGTATCCTGCTTACCTGAAAACTGATATAGTCAATAAAACCAGTGAGGTTACTGTCAGATGTCGGCTCTGGTGGATTATCACAGTGGTAGGATCTGCCCATAGGTGCTGTGATATAGGCCGATTTTAACACTTCTGTTCTATCCGCCAGGTGAGATTGATTTGTATAGGTGTAACGTATCTGATACAGATTTGTCGTCCACATACCACGGTCGTTGTTCATGTACATGCTAGTAGAAAAAAAAAATCTTTCATTTTAAAAACATAGTATAGAACTTGAAAATTTGTCTATGTCTGTACAAAGTTCGACTTTTCTGACGAGATGAAAATATGATGAGACATATTTTTAAATTGATACATTGTAATATAAACCGCGGTTTATAATAGGACTTTAACGGTAGTACCAGACAATTCATAGCGAACCGTGTTCTGTTTCCTTGTGATATGTGTTCCAATCTAAACAGATATCTGGTTTATATAATACTATCTCCATTAATTATTGTACTACATACAAAACATTAAAGGGACATTAGCAAAAAATAACCAAAAACTCATTTTTTGGATAATTTGTCTTCTAAAATCAATGTTTATATCATAAATGATAACAAGCTTTTTACGAAAAGTAGACAATAATATTAATTTTCACTTTTACCATGGTACCAGGGATCAACTGACTGGTTTTCCAAGTATTCATTACAAAGGCGAAATTTGATATTTTTTTAATGAACAAGCCATGCATGGCACAATCCCCGTTAGTTATCGAATTTAAGATATATAGTTATGTTTATATTAATATAGCTGGGACATAAACATGTCAGGAATATGATTATGATTGTTTAACATTAAAATGATTGACATTTGTATCTGATCGTCAAACGAGTATTGAGAGATATTTGCTCTGGAACAGCATTAATTAAAACAAAATCAGCCATTTTGAATACATGTATAATGAATATATATAAAATTTGAACATAATAAGTCAAAGCATGTCAGAGATATGGCACTAGAACTGCATTCATTAATACATAATGGCCACCAGTCGGCCATTTAAATCAGATCTGAAAAATAAAATGACGTGCATCAGGAACCCGTAATGTCTAATGTATGTACCAAGTTTGAACAAAACCCATCAATAAATGCTAGAAATGCTTGATATTTGATGATTTTTTAGCAGAAAAATGGCCACCATTCGGCTATTTTTAATAGGATCGTCAAACCAATATATCTGTATATCTATTACATGATGTATAATGAATATTTAAAATTTGAACATTCACAGTCAAAGCAAGTCAGAGATATGGCACTAGAACCATATTCATTAAAACAAAATGGCCACCAGTCGGCCATGTTGAATCTTATCTGAAAAACAAAATGATGTGCATCAAGGTCCTATAATGTCCAAAGTATATACCAAGTTTGAACAAAATCCATGTGTAAACAGCTGAGAAATGCTTGATTTTGATGGTTTTTTAGAACAAAAATGGCCACCATTCGGCCATCTTGAATCTTGATGTGCATAAGTATAAGTGAAGTTTGATTGTGATTGGTCCAGAGATTTCTAAGATACAGGTCCGAACGCATGCACGCTCGCACACACACACAGGTCAAAACACAAGTCCCCGTTTTCGGACTGCATCCGAACAGGGACTTAAAGATAATTGGTAATTGTATTTAATATTCATTCTCCGATGATGGCAAAAAGTTAGAAAAAAATATCTTATGTTTCCACTATGGGGGCGCTCTAATTCTCTAGAGGGCGCTATAAAATGTTCAAGAATCCACTCACTTGATATCTAGAGTCAGCGTATCTTCAATGTCTGTGTAAGTAATCAGTAATCTGTAACAACATTTAAAAGTGATTAGGAATGTTATAAATATTGCATTTCAAATATTTGAGCGTTTTCCCAACCAAAAATCCCAAGATTTTCTGAATGAAGGCAATGTGTTGCTGCAAACGATTTAATCCTGGTATCACAAACATATCCCTCCTAGTTACGATACAGCTATATGTAGAGTAACTTTCAGACAATATCACACAATGGAGGAATACCCGGGGATTGTATACTGTAAAACATGTTGAACAAGTCATTGTCAATGACACGTCCCCGTTCCGTTCATATTTGAGAGACATATACATTCAAAGCAGATCATGACTGAAATGCACCTGCATATGTACAACACATTGTGCTAAATCTGAACAAAATCCATCCATGCATGACTGAGATCCGGTTCTGGAATTGTGAAAATACGTGATTTTGATGCATTTTCGGCCTTAAAATGGCCATCATTCCGCTATTGTTAAGCAGATCATGAAACAAATGCACATATCTATTTGTGACATGATGTACCATGTGTGTGTGAAGTTTGAACTTGATCAATCCAGACATGTCTTGGATACGGATCCAGAACTGAATTCTTTAACAAAATGGCCGCCAGTCGGTCATTTCGAACTTGATCCGAAAAAAAAAAAAGACGTGCAT